CATCATCTCTTACTCTATCCTGAACATCAGGTTGAATTTACTAGGGGGTTTTACATCACAGAAGACCAGGAAAGTGTATGATTTTGATATAAAATGGGCAAAAGAGTTTTGACACATACTATAGCTGTGCTATATAAAAAAAAACAGAACAATATAACAGAGCACCAAAAAGTCAAAGATTTTTTTCATTTCATGGGACTTTAAGTTTAATACATCAAGATTTTTTTCTGTCAGAACAGCTGCTTCCCTGCTTGTAGTTTTACACCGGTTCAGTCCTGTAAGCTGAGGCTTTATGATTTCAGCCTGCACGTCAAAATTCAGGGCAGGTTGTGATGACCACACAGCCTGATCACAGTAAATTGCTTCCAGGTGAGCTGCGACGCTCAAAATGCCAGTAATGTGTGGGCTCCGCTGGGATCAGGCACAACCAGTACAGGCCCTAATCAGTGCGGGCTTTTTGCTGCCAATTCAAGCTCAGACACAGTAGGAGACGGTCTTAGATGTGCGTGTGTGTTTGTGTGTCTGTGAGACAGAGAGAGAGAGAGAGAGAGAGAGAGAAAGAAAGAATGAATGAATGAATGAATGAGAAAGAGAAAAAGAGAGGAAACGGGTGTACAGGTCAGGTTATATAATGATAGAAATCCTTTAAAACATTCTATGTTGAGAAAACATCAGGACTTATAAACCAATGCCCTTCTTCAAATTGTCTTATAATGGATGAATGGATTCACAGCTCAAGGTTTAGTTTTTGAACTTTGTGGGGTTATGGAACTATTGAAAGAATTGATTTGAGTGTGTTAAAAAAAAACAACCAAAAAAAAAAAACCTGTCTATTAACCAAACCATACTTCAACATATTCTTAAATTTTCAAGACTACATGTGCATCTTAACTTCACATTTTTTAACAATCTTCTTGGACTTTCTTGAAAAAGAGAGATTGAAAGACTTTTCACTGGTATATTTAAGAAGAAATGGGCATGAATACCAAACATAAAAATGGACAGAAGAGAAGCGTATTATGCTGCAGGAGTCACATGGAAAGTTTCCATCAACCTTTTCCACCTTGAAACTGGGTCACCGCTGGAATCCATTGTAAAAACCATGAATGCAAACCACCTACACCTGCAAAGGAGCAAGCTACAAACTTTTCAGAGGTACCTTTTAAGCCTGTAGGGGGTGAACGTTTGATACTCAAAACATAGCTTTTTGTGGAACATTCCTTTAACCTCCAAATACACGTCATCTCATTTAAAAAAACAAACTTAGTGATTACTGTTCATGGATTAAAGAAGGTGTTCAAAAGTTTCATGAATTGAATCAGAATAATTTAGTGACAGAAGTTGTCTCACACACTATACTGACTAACCTACGCATGTTTTCCATTATGAGCACATAACTTTAAGTTTAACATTAAAGTGTTGAAAAATGTCCTGTCTTACTCTTCAATGTAAATCATGTGAATATAGTTTGCTTAAGGCCTTGTAGCCTGTCAGATCACACATCTTTATCCTGGAATTTGCATTTTGCCTCTGTCTGTGTATGGTAATTCAGGTGATTTTGACAAGTGGTTAATATGTTGTCATTTTCTTACAGGTGGTTACAAGAGTAAGAGTAAGAGTAAGAATAAGAATAAGAATAAGAATAAGATTAAGAATAACAATAACAATAAGAATAACAATTAAGAATAATTTGCTAAACAAGATGGTAGAATAAAAGAATAAAAATGATATTATTATGTGTATAGTGCAGTCACCTACTGAAATAGATTGTTGGTGAAATGGATGAATCAGGAAAATCGGTGTGGATTATAGTTTTATTATATATATTATATTATATATTATAAGTTTTTTTATGCTAAATTATTTAAAATTTAATTAAATGGCTTCAATTTGTGGTGATACATTTTGAACTGATTATTTTTCGGATATTATTTTAAATTTGGTTTCTATTTGAGTTGGCTTTTTACATTGTGTTTTTCAGACACACATGGATACAAGGGACTTCAGCTTCACTGACTGTTGCACAGCAGACTCCTTTTAAGTTTCCAACAGTTAACACTCTCCCTTAGCCTACCACTCCATTCTGCAAAGAGGGTGCTGGAGCACTCTAACATTGTATGCTGTGAGGCACCCAAGCCGTTCAAAAAAAGGCATGCTGCTGAATGTAACAGCGTATAAAGAACAATAGGTATGAGACAAAGAGCTCAATTCATAATCCCAGTGACAAACCAGTTATCACCACGTCTTTCTTCTTACATCCAAGGTCACGCCACCTAAATATCACAAAAGATTCCAAAAATGGAAATGACCAAGAGATAACCCTGGACATGTCTTTCGAGAGTGATTTAAGGGAGTTTCATCGGCTAATAAAAAACACACCTAAAGCCAATACCAAAGTCAATACCAAAATAGGCCTGGAAATGCAAGGTCTCTGAGTGTTTTAAAGTGTAAAAGTGGATTTTCTCTTTGTGGGCTCAGTGAGAACAGTCATCTGAAACGAACAAATGGCTGTTAATAAAGACAGGATGGACAGGATGCATACTCCTGCAAAGGATGTGTTTTGTGGGAGGTAGAGAAACTAATCTCCCAGTTGTAAACATTCACTATTTAGTCAATTTTTTTGTCAGCTTGTTAGACCACTAGCCATGCCTGTGTTTAAATATTTGACTCTCTCCCGTCAACTATAATAAAATAGCTTTTTAATGCTACGCTGTCTGAAGTGAGACTGGCAGCACCGGCCCTGAGTTAGCAATGACTCAGCCCGTGTCTATCCATTGACAGGGGCACTCTGTTGTCTGGATTGATCAGGGTTTATTGGAACTACAAGTAAGCTGTCTGGCCAAGGATGAGACGTCTTTTTAAAGTACTAAGCAGCTTTCCAAAATAATGGCTCCGCTTCAGTCACCTGTACAACTATTCGACAGTGATTCCGAGGCGATGAAAGAAAGAAAAGGGGGGTGCATGAGACCTGTGAAAAGAAAGGGGGAAGGGAGGGGTCTCAGGCACGCATAGGGAAGACAATTTCACATTCAGATATCATTAGAAGGTAATAGAGTAGCGAACAGTGTGCAGCCTGAAATTCTGCTTCTGTCATACCTGCTACTGCCCGCTCCAAATTTATTTTCATTTTACAGAGAAGGGAAGAAAATGGCAGAGACTCACAGAGAAAGAGAAGGAGAGAGAACGAGTGCAGACAGGAACAGAATAAAGTAAGATCTCAAACTTCCTTGACATGTTGAAAAAGTGGAGCTTTCACAAAGAGGTGTAATTCATACCATTCGCTGCTTAAATATAGCAGAGGCAATTTGCCGAAGACAGAAGGGGAGACAGGGTGTGACGAGAATACAACTACTCACTGGATTCCTTAGGCAACACTTCATGCCCACACGGCCTCAAACATGCTAAACTGAGCGCAGTCTCCAATTCCTCCCCCTGCCCACTGATTGACAGCCGCAGTGCAGGTGTGGTGC